CGATCCAGGCTGCGCGCCGGAGGCCGGGCAGTCGTGAGCAGGCTCAGGCCCCGGAGCCCCGAGCTAGCAGATACAGGGGCCCCAAGCCAAAGAAGCCCTGACGCACCAGGAACTAGGCTCAAATGACAAAAAGAAAGTGAAAAAGGAGGCGGCGGCGGAGGGGCCGTGCACCGCGATACTCACCTTTCCTTGTAGCGCCCACAGCCCAGGGTTCCGCGGCCGCCGCTCACCCACCGGCTCAGCTCCGGCGCACAAGCACCGCCCCACCGGAAGCGGCCCCGCGCTCCGCCCCCATCCGCCTCGCCGGCAGCTCCGAACCAATCATCAACAAATCTGTAGCGGACGCATAGCTTTCCCGGACAGCCATTGGTCCCACGGCCACGTAGTCGTGATTGGCTGGAAAGCGCCACGTCCCCGCGAGCGCGCCGAGTTGCGTGGACAGGATTCCCGCCCAACCCTTGTCCCCGGCCCTGTGGGGTTGGCGGGCCCCAGCCCCTTACTCCTGGTGGCTTGTGGACGCGGCTGTCTGGCCGCCACGTCCCGGTTCCCAGTTCTTGGCTCGGCCTCCATGGGGCTTCTTAGATTACCCGACCCACAAGTACCCGAGGCCGAATTAATCCGACTCTTACTAGTCGCCAACTGTATTGAACAATCCCAGCGTCTCCTTTCACTTCCGCGCTACAGCCCAGATCCTACCCGAGGCTCTTCACTCGCTGGCTCCGGCTTCATCTCCCACCACTCCCTCTCATGTATCTTGTGCTCTGGTCACGATCATCTCAGGTGTTTCCTAACAGTCCGCCTTTCCACATCTTTATAGTCTTTCGTTATCAAGCGACCTCCTGCACCAGGGGTGAGTGCGTTTTCCAGATTCTCTGCCTTGTGAATGACAATAGAAGTCCCGGTTCACAGAAATCTCGGTTCAGAGGTTAGATTTAGAAGCCTTTCCTGACCCCTCTAGGCATAGTAATTCCTCCGTTATTTGCCTTCATAGCACTTTGCATCGTCAGTACAATTCGCCAAATTTTGGTATAAACGCTGCGTATCCATTTGTCCTCCTCTAAGCTAAGGGTACAGCTGTGCGTTTATTCATCTTTGTACCTACAGCTCTGAGCTTACTGCCTAGTTCAAAGTAAATGCTTAATCATGTTAAGTGAACTGAATGGGTGGAACCCATTGCATGTCCCTGATTTAAGAGGAATATAGGAAATTACTAATTTATTCATTCATTTTCAAGTCATCAAATTAAAATTAAATTAAACGAGGGCTACTGTGTTTGCAACATAAGTGGATTATAAACCTACTGTATTCATAGTACATAAAACTTCAGTATTTTAAAATCCAGTTGAGACAAAGCTGTACGCTCATGACAGAGTAAAATATAAAGCAACTGAGTTTATTTTAAACATCAAGATGAGAGGTTGACAACCAATGCTTTGGGAATTTGGATAAGGTGTGGCTGTGACCCATAGTGGTAGCCAGGAAGGGTTTCCTAAGAAGGTATGACTCAGGCTGGACTAAGAAATTCCCAAGTGCACTATTCAGCAAAAGATATAACAAGAACAAGGGCAAGTGGGGGACAGAGTAGGAGGAAAATCCTTAGGCCAAGTAGAGAATGAGGGAGGTAAAAAAAGGGGAGGGGGTGGAGAAGAGGGGAGTGGGGGAGCCTGAGCTGAAGGCAGTGGGAATTATGGGTCTTCTGAAAGTTTGTAAGCTTGTGCCTACATGGGAAGTGGAATATGACTGAAAGTAGACCAAACTCTCTCATGGTGCTTATATTCTTGTTAGGTGGCCAATAAATAAGAGAAAAAAGCAAAATACATAGAATGAGGGTTGATGATAGGTAGTGTGGAATAAAATAAGGTAGGGAAGGAGAAAAGGGAGTGCTGGGACTATCAGGAATGGTGTTGCAATCTTAAAAGAGGTGGCCAGGGAAGGCTCATGAATATGATGACATGTGAGTGAACATCTGGAGGTGGTGTGAACAACATCCCAGATAAAGGGAAGAGCAAGGGCAAAGGCCCTGAGCTAAAGCCTGCCTTGATTGTTTGAGCTGCAGCAGGAAGCCAGTGGGACTGGAGTGCAGTAATTGAGGGGTGTAGAGGACATGAGGTCAGGGAAATAGTAGCAGGGATGGGGGTGAAGGCGAGAGGGACACCATGAAGGGCCTTTGGCCCATTGTAAGGACTTTAGCTTCTACTATGAGTGAAATGGTGTGGAAGAGACAGGCTAACTAGTTACCAAACTCTTTCCTCTTCATTCTGTGAACAGAGCTAGACTACATTTCCCAGGCTTTCTTGCAGAGTGGCCATGTGACTGAGTTCTGGCTAAGGGAAGAGATGCAGAAATGATGTCCACTACTTCCAGTACTGGCCATGCAAACCTGCCATGTGCCGTTCTCCAAGCTCTTTCTCTTTCTGTGGCAACCCTAGAAGCTCTGTGGTGCAGATGGCAAGTCACAATATGGAAGGGGCCCAGGGTCCTGTCCATTCACTGGACAGGAACACCCTTTTGGACTTTCTTGTGAGTAAGAAATGAACTTCTATTGGTTATTTTATGTCATTGATATTTGGGGCTTATCTTTTACAGAGGTAGAATTACCTTAACACATATGGGAAAATATTGGAAGTTTTTGAGCAGAGAAGGGACATGACCTAAGATTTTTAAAGGGCCGCATTAGACTGAAGGGGGTAAGATTAGAAACAAACCACCAACTTAGAGGATTTTTGCAACAATCCAATTGATGATGATGATGATGGCTTGGTCCAGGGCGGTAGCCATGGAATTAGTGAGAAGTATCAGATTCTGCATATATTTTGAAAGTATTTTAAAAAGATTTCCTAATGGATTGGAACTGGGGTGGAGAGGAGTCAAGGATGACTCCAAGGTTTTGAGCACTAGAAAAATAGAGTTGCCATTTTCTAGGATAATAAAGACCTTGCAGGGAACAAGTCTTGAGGGATAATATTGAGGGATTAGTTTGGGACATGCTGAGATGTCTGTTAGATATTCAAATGGAAATGTTAATTAGGCAGTTGGAGTTCATAGTGTTCTGGTCTAGAGATATGAAATTGGGAGTAATTGGTATATGTGTAAACCATGGTAAAACCATGAGTTTTGATTAAAAGAGACCCAAGGACTGAGTCCTGGAAATTTTTAGTGTTTGGAGATGATGTGTACATGTGGTGTGTTGTTGATGAGAATGAATCAGCAAAGGAAACTGAGAAGAAAAGCCAGTGGAGGAGGAGAGTATAATGTTCAAGAAGCCAGGTGAAGGAAGTGTTTCCAGGAGAAATCACATATGCCACATGCTGTTAACAGTGAGATGAAAACTGACTGGCCATTGGCTTTAGCAATGTGAGGATCAGGTTTGGTGGGATAGTGGGTGCAAAAACCTACTGGAAAGGTTCAAGAGAGAATGGGAAGCAAGATATTGGAAACCATTGGGGGTTTACTAGAAAAAGCATCAGAGTAGGGAGAGGGACCAAGAGAGGTTTTTTTTTGTTATTTTTTTAAGTGGAAGAAATAACTGTGTGTAGGAGAAATACCAGCTTGTTTGTTGCTCATGGGAAGGATCAGAAGAGATGATCAAATAGATGATGTAGGGAAGAGGAGGCAAAGTTGCTGGAGCAATGTCCTTGAGACAGTTCTTCCATAGTAGCCAGGAGAGAAACTAGATCTACCTGTCTGGCTCCAGATAAGTGATAAACATGTGGTGAGACCTTGGAGTTCCCTTTCCATTGCTACTACGTTCTCAGTGAAATGGGAATCAGGGTCATCAGGAAGCACTGGGGGTTTAAGGAGGGAGGAAGTGTAAAATAGCCATTCAGCAAAGAGAACAGATGAAGGGAACATAGTACGATCTCCAGGCAACATTAAAGACCCTCTTGAGGCTTGAGATTATGACTTTGAGGTGAGACTCGTTAGTATGTCATGTGGTTTTCTCCAGGCAAGTTTAGCGACATGGTGCAGCCTGGAGTTGGTGGAGAGTTGGATGTTGCCAGTGCACAGAATGAAGTGGAAGAGACACGAAGGTGCTGAGGGTGCGTGCAAGGGAGTGATGATACTCATGACAGATTGTGGAATCTAGGCTGGAGGGAAGGGGAATGAGGATGTGAGGAGAGTGAGGGATAGTGAAAACCCAGAAGGAGCAAGAGATTGCAGGATTGGTGGAGTTGAAGGATTACTGAACTCAGGGAGAGATAGGAGGTGGTAGAGTTGGAGAGTAGGAACATTGGGGGTGGGGTGCAGCTATTAATGACAAACTCCATGGTAAAATCAGGGGACTCTGTGGCTGAGGGTGGAAGACAGGATCGCTGGGCAGCAGTTCAAGGAACAGTCACCAGGGTATGGGAAGGATCATCTATGTGGATATTGGAATCACCAGGAATTAGGACCTAACTCATCCTTGGCGACAGCGAGGTGATCCAGGAACTTACTTTTTAGCCCTCCAACCATTTCAGTCTGAAAACCACTTCAGTGAAAAAAAAGACCCTACTAGGATATCTTAAATTAAAGCAAGACATCCAAAAAAGCTTTCCAGTTGAAAGGTTGGGCAGCTTTTCTGAAACACTCATAGTCTGGTTTTTATTGAATGTGAATATTGTGCATGTTAAAGAGAGGCCAGTCCATGGGCGGTCTGGCAGGCCCTCCTTAGTGACTCAATTAATCTATAGTTTGTGAACCCTTGATTTTACCTGTACTTTGAGCCTTGAACCTCTGATTTACCTGTGCTTTGAGCCTGTGTCTTCTCTTTTTGGAATCTTCAATTTCAAAAGCACTAACAAGGTATGTCAACATTTCAAGGAGGTGTCATATGCCAAAGAAATTGAGCCAGTGTTTGTAGGGCTGGGATGACAGCAAACTCGGAAAGTTTTAACACAAAAAGAGAAACTCCCCTTCCACACACACCTTGTCTTACCACCTCCTGAAGGAAACTTTCTGTAGCCTCAAACCCAAACCTCCATTTGGAACAGCAGGGCTGGGCTAGCAAGTCTGAGTTAGGGAATGCACTAAAGAAGGGGTAGATGGTCTAAAGCTTGAATCAGAAAAGAGACTAACAAGAAAAGTTGGCAAAAAGGGAAATTTAAGGAGAGGACCTCGGCTAAAATTCATTTCTGGTCCCTCAGCCTTGTCCAGAGTAGTCTGAGCAGAGAAGAAAATACATATCTCTTTTGGTATATGGCCTTACTTTTAAGTTTTAAATTAGATAAATAGAAGCTTGGTGAGGCATTGCTCAGTGGTGTAATTGTCCTCTCTTCTGTTTCCTTCTGTTACCACTTTTCAGCATCTCCCCTCTTCTCTGACTCCCTCCTTCCACCTTCCTTTTCACCTCCAATTTGTTCTCTTCCACCTCTCCTCTGGTTCTGTTTCTGTTTCCTTCCTTCTTGCCTCCTCTTGGTCCTGGCCCTTCTGAAATCACGTCTTCTTGTGGCCTCCCTGGGGGTGGAGTGGAGGTGCACTGTGGTGATGTGTGGAGTTGAGGACATGAAGTTTGAAGTTCCGTGCTGGAATGATGCTGGAATGAAGTTTCTCACTGGGAGCCATGCTTCCAAGTGGTTCTTCAAGGAAAGGCTCTGCTGTCAGGGTGAGATGATTCTAGTTTTTCCTTAGTTGCAGCTTTCTCTTCCCCTGCATCCAGCTAGAGTCCCTCAGAAAGCTGAATGCTGCAGAGTGGCGTTGGTGAGGGCTGCAGAGATTTCCCCCCATGTGAAAGGGTGGCTCAAATAAAACTTCCTGTTAGTGTTGGAGAGAAAAATATTCATTAAGATGGAACTTCCCTTAAAAGCTCTTCCATGGGCACCTAGATACTTCTGTCAATTTTTTTTACATTGTCAACCATTAAAAATAGGTAACTTGTAAGAGTTAGTGGTTTATTGATAATATTGTACTCTAGACAACATAAACCACTTGTACCTTCTTTAAGGATCTAGCTCCGGTCAGACAGAGGCACATAGGAAGTACTTGATGAGTGGCTGTTAAATGAGCACATGGATGGATGGATGAGGCTTGGAGCTGGAAAGATAAGGGCTGGGCCCCAGAGAAGGTTGACCCCTACCCCATCCCTCCTGGCCTAGCTCCTTCTCACTCTCCACAGCAAAAGTTTAGGCCTCCCTGAGAGCTCTGGAAAGGACAAGGAGCTCCCCACCTCTGCAGAGGTAGCTCCTCGTGCCTCCCACCCAGCAGGGAGAAGGCAGCTCTAGTGACAACAGCTAGTCACTCTGTCCCTTACAGGAATGCCCAAGGGGCCTCTGGTGGCTTCGAAGGTGCCACACCTAGGGCTTTCACTCAGCCTAGTTGGAGGGGGAGAAGAGCAGGGCAGGAAGAAAGAGGGTTGAGGTGGCTGTGGCTGGCCCCCCACTCCCCCACCACAGCCTCCTGGAATCACACCCAGGACCCTGGGACCTGAACCCAGGCCTGAGGTGGAATCCCAGGCCTGTCCCAGGAAGGCAGCTGGATTAATCCCATCACCGTACCTATAAATGGGGCCCGCTGTGGCCCCGTAGAGGCTGCCAGAGTGCTGAGAAGTGAGAGGGGCTGCGGCCCAGAGGGGTTCTCTCTTTCCCACTCTCCACAGGTGAACGAATTCCTCCAACTGAGGTCGAGGGTGCAAGGGATGGAGTCTTCACTGTGACTGTTTTTCTCTAGGTCAGAAAAGGGAATGCATTTGTTTGTACTTTAATTGACAGTGCACTCTCACAGATTCCAGCCAGCCTTTGTGAGGTGCTTATTATGGGCCAGGCACTGTTCCAAACAATTACACACATTAATGCCCTTTTAATCCTCACAACAACCCCAAGAGGTCAGTGCTGCCATGGTCCCCATTCAATGCATGAGAAATCTGAGGCCCAGCAAGGTTAAGTCACTTAACCATGGTCACATAATGAGCAGGCAGGGCCAGAATTCAAAGCCAGATAGCCAGGCAACAGAGCCCGTGGTTTTACCACTACATCATGTGAACAAGGTAGTACCAGTAAAAGGAGGGAACCACCATGGCTTGGAGAGGTTAACCGAGTGAATTTTCCCAGGAGATTCAACTAGCTGCACTGGCAATGGCCTTGAATTCAGATGGCCTGAGCCAGAAGTTGTTCTTGGACCATTTGACTTCAGCAGCTTGAAGCGTGGCTGGCTCACAGCCCAGCAGCTTTGGCATCACCTAGAGTTTGTGAGAAATGTAGTCTCAGGTCCACCCAGACCCACTGAACCAGAATCTGCATATTAACAGGATCCCCAGGGGATCATTTGCACATTAAAGTTTGGGCAGCACTGCAACAGATCACACCACCCACTGACGGGGAATTAAAAGGTTCAACCACATAGGTAAGCTTGGGGATGCTGGCTTTTCCAAATGTAGCTCTCTCTCTTTTGCCATCCAAAAGTTCCAAGGGTTGGGGTGTGACTGTCCTTCCAAACTGAAAGGGTACACTACCCAGGCCCAAAGAGAAAAGAGGGGTTCCTTTAGCTCCCCCTAAGGAAAGAGCAGGGTCCTGAGGCTATCCCAGGATGATTAATTGAAATCGGCCTATGGACATCTGGGAATGATAGTTTCCATGACACAGATATCCTGAGTCTGAAATTCTAGCTGTTCTCTCAAGCCCTAGAATATTTAAAATATTCTCTATTTCTACTCCTTCAACCCTAATCGCATGGGATATGTCTTGAGTGTAAGCGTGCTTGCATGTATGTGTAAAAACATTAATGAATCACCATTGTATTAGCAGTCACATTACATGAGAAAGCATTTATAGACCTGGAGAAAATGTGGGCCAGTAATCAGCTCTACTCACCGTTTAGAACAGGGGCTCTGAACTGCCAGCCTCCAGGCTGACTTTGGTCTATAGATATGTTTTGTTTGCCCAATAAGTGTTGGCCTGTGCTGTACTTTAGGTTTTTGTCTGTTTATTTGTTTTAATGGAGGTACTGGGGATTGAACCCAGGACCTCGTGCATGCTAAGCATGCACTCTACCACTGAGCTATACCCCTCCCCCTGTACTTTAGTTTTTTATGAAATAGGGGGAAGTGTGTCACATAAAAATCCAGATTTTTGGTTTTTCTTGAAAAATCAGAGTATCTGGCAACACCAGGCCTGTGTTCTAGCATTGCAACAATTAACTGAAGCTTTAATTGAAGCATTCACTTTCTCACTGCCACTGTCTTCACCACTCCATACTGTCTCAATGCTGAAACCAAGTGTCAGCCCAGTTGTTGTTTCACTTAATAACAGAGTTGAGAGAAAAGTCAACCATTCTTATGTCTATGATACCTAGACTCTTTACTCATTTATACTACCTGCAGATGTTTGAGTTGCAATCCCAGGTTTCAATAAAACTTGGTACAGCTCCCTTGGGGTCTACACGTTCCTCTAAATCTCTAACTAGAATATGATATTCTGGCTGCCTCCTCCTCCAGTTTGGAGGAATAATTTATTAGTGGTGTGGTGCATGAATATTTATGGAGTTCCTATTGTGTTCCCAGCCCTGTGCCTGCCACTGTAGATAATTCAGGGGCATGAAAAAAATTAAGTTTGGTTGAAGAAATAAGACTGAACCCTATGAAACAATTACGGAATAATGTAAGAAAGGTTATGAGCAAGGAAAGATTCTTCTGGGTAGGAAGGTGTTGAATGTACCTCAGAGGTTAGTAGGATTTAGCGAGGCATCAGCAGGAACGGGGCAGAGGTAGGAGAGTAAGGCATGGGGAAGGGTAGCTAGCTAAAGTTTGACCAGAGCAGAAGACTTGGGCTGGAGAAGAGGAGGAGGAGAAAGTGATCAGACAAAATGGTAAGAGAGGGAAAGTTCATGCAGGGTCATGCATGCCCAAATGAATAGATTTGGGGTACACTAGAACCTGGAAATAAATAGGGAATTGGCTGCTATCTCCAGAGTGTGTCAAGCTGTCTCACACAGACTCTGTGTCTCTTCTTAGAATCCCTGCTTCATCCACTTTGGCCAGCCCACTTGTACTCATCCTGTGTGACTCAGCTCAGACTCCAGGCCTTCCTGGACCACTTTCTGGGAGGAGTAAGGGAGCCCTGTCTTTGTGCTCCTGTGACACACCAGTCATGAGCTTTGAATGTTGCCTGGAAGGAGAGGTTCTGTAATTTTGGGATTTACCCAACTGACTCCAACAAATTATAAACCAATTGAAGTGGGTACTGTATTTTCACTGTGACTCCACAGCCTTCAACAGTGTTTGGCATTTACCAAGTGCTCCATCCTTGTTTTTGAATGAATGATTGAATGAATGAATGAACCAACTAGCAGAAGATCACTGCGGTGGTCCAGTCAAGAAGTGCTAAGGTGGACTAGGGTAGGATCTGTGGGAGTAGAAATGAAGTAAAGAATATAAGAAACATTTCAAAGAAAGAACTTGGTAGGATTTGGTGCCAAATTGACTATGGTGGCCAAAGATCCCAGAGGAACTCAAACTAAGTGCAGAAGGACAAAGGCGATCCTGACAGCACCAGGAGAGCTGGGATGGAAAGCCGGAGGGGATCCTATTCCTGCATCTGCAGGGCAGAAAGGTCTCCGAGACAAGGGGGCCTTGTGCCCTCCCTTACCTGAGCTGTCCTTTTTGGTCTCTGTCTTTTTGCTGCTCCTGGAGCTCCAGCCATTTCTGGATCAAGGAAATGAAGGTCAAAAGGAAAAGAAGGGAGCATGAAACTCTCATTTCAAAACTTGTTTCTAGTTATATTTTTTTCTGATGCAAAAAAAGCTTTAGAGGCATATATAAATATGAAAAAGGCAAGCAGTGGCTATATTGGGTGGGTGTGACACATATTAAAATACCAAAAGAAAAAAAAGTAGGGAAGGGGAGGTGGGGTGGGGTGGGGTGGGGTTTGGGGAGCAGAACCCATGCTTCTGATTTTGCTGAGGTGGAGTGGGCGGGACTCCATCTGTTTGGTCCTGCGTCTCAGCCATTTATTTTATTTGCTGTCAGTTGCACATTGTTGCCAATGTGCAAAAATGGCTAAAGCTGCAACCAGAATAGAACTTGCCTAAATGAGAAGAAAAATCACCACTCAGGGCTTCGTTCTGGGAAGTTAAAAAGAAGAAACTAAATGTACAAAGCAATTATTGAGACAGGGAAGCAAAAATGAAATGTTCCCTGTTTTTCTCGCGTCCCTCTGATCCATTTTGTACATGGCAGCCCAGACTCGGTTACCATAGCTTCCTGGCTGGTCTCTCCACACCTACCCTCCCTCTCTTCAAATCACTGTCGCTGCAACAGCTAGCATGACCTTTTTAAAATGTAAATTGAATCACGTCACTTCCCTGTTAAAAATGCTGCTAAGGCTCCCATTACACGTGAAGTCTAAATCCATCCGCCTAGCTTCCCAGGTCCTGCCTGGCTTGGTCCTTGCCCTCTTCCACTTGTGTCCTTCTACCACCACCCCCACTTCCCCACTGGCTTTTCTTCCCTTTCTCTAAACTCACCAAGCTTCTTCCTCAAGGCGAAGCCTCATTGTTATACTCATTTTTTCCCTTACCCTCCACAGCTTTCTTCACCCTTAATCTGGCAAGCGTGTGTTTCTCCTTCAGGTATTTGACTCCTCTGACCTTCTGGAGATATTAAAAGCTGTCTGTGCCAGAGATTGCCTAGTATCCCTTCTTCCCTTCTCCCTCTGGGGCAGAGCATCTAACCTTGTGTTGGGCCCCTGGCTCTGCAGAATGGAGGATGCATTTCCCAGCCTCCCCTGCAGCCGGGTGCCGTCATGTGACTGCATTGCAGCCAATGAAATATAAACAGTAGTCATCCTTCCCAGAGTAATAAAGAAAATCTATGATTTAACATTTTGATATAGTCAAAAAGTTGCTTCAAAATATCTTGCTCTATCCAAGTCCAGGGCTCTCCAGCTGAGCAATGTGACATCTTACCCTGAAATTTCTTCATTACGATCTCTCTATGTGACATACAGAGTGATGATCCCAGCATAAATATTTTTCCTTTTTTTTATTTTTCAGTTTTATTAGGTAAAATTGATACAATTTGACTGCACATATACAATATATTGCATGTAAGTACATATATACAATATACTGTACTTTTAAAAAACTTACATATATGAAAATTATTTCTATGAACAGTTTAGAGCTTAAGCTTTTAAAAAAACTTATGTATTTATTTTACAGTATCATATTTTTTACATTGAAGTATAGTTTTTGATGTACAATGTTATATATTACAGGTATACAGTATAATGGTTCACAATTTTAAAGGTTATAGTCCATTTATATTATTATAAAATATTGGCTATATTCCCCATTTTGTACAATACATCCTTGTAGCTTATTTTATGCTTGATAATTTGTACCTCTTAATCTACCTCGATCTTGCCCCTTCCCTCTCCCCAGACCCAATATAAATTCTGTAACAGCAGGCAACTCACAAGCCTTTTTCTTGTGTTAATTCCAATTCCAGTCCAAGTTAGAATTAATAATACAAATTTATATGCATTGAGAGTTTACTTATATCTGCCTCTAAATCTGCTGAGGATAGGCCAAGCACTTGATGCATAAGAGTTTATTTAATCCTGACACTCTGGATGAGGTTGGCACTATGTAATTTCTATTTTACAGACCTGAACACTGAGGCCCAGTGTAGTTAAGCAATGTGCCAGGTGTGCCCAAGGTCTCATAGAGCAGTGGCTTGGGGTCAGGTCTGTGTGAGCTCTTACCCACTAGGAGAGATCGCCTCCTGTGAGCTCTCCTGGTTTTTAGTGTATTTCCAGCATTCACAAAGAAACCTTTCTTAACTTGTTGTTGTCGTTCAGTGTCTGAGTTGGTTGTCCCTGTTATGACAAAAATCTCCTTCTCTCTGACACCTCATTTTTCTCTTCTGGTGCATTTACTAATTTATTTCTGTTCTCCCTTTTTTGTGACACCACAAATCAAGTTCCCTAGGGCCCCTAGTTCCCACTTTATCTGCGGTGCCCCGGGGTCTAAGTGCTCTTGATTCTGGTCTCTCTCATACCAACCAGTCTTAAGATTCAACCTAATGTCATCTGTACATTACAGGGACATTTCCTCAGGCATGGAGAAGACAGACCTGCACAATGGAGCTTTCCAGAAAACATTTTTAAGAAAATGATCACAGAAGCTCCATGAAGTTCAATCAGAGGCCAGGTAAGTAGGTAAAAGAACCTCATGATAGACAATGTTTTAAACAACGTTTTGGTTATTTCTCTGTAGGATGAGGAATTTGGTTAGAAATTAGATTTTACTTTTCCACTAGTTTACTAATTTATGATTCATATTGAAGAAGTTA